AGAACCGAAATGGACTTAATGGTTGAGACTAAACCTACCCTGCAAAATAAATGTCAAGTTATAACTAGAAGAAGTTTCTCAAAGGGACAAGGTGTATTGATGAGAAATTACTCAAACGTCTCAGGAGAAAAGTGGTCAACAGGAACAATCGAAAGGCCGCTTGGGCATGTGATGTACCTCGTTAAATCAGAAGACGGGCGGTTATTTAAGAGACACTGCGACCAACTAAGAGCAGCTTAATTGGGGGGAGGATTGTCATATGCTTAAATAATCAGATGATTATTGTTGTTTTTTTTTTTGTTATTGTTTACATTTATCTTTTGAATTGAATTAGTTCTAGAATAAAGTTTTACCAATTAATTTACGTGTATTTTGTATATTTATGAAGATATATCAAACACCTTGGAAATGCTACCAGACAGGATGGTGAAGATCACAGATCTAGAAAAACCATACAATGTCAACATTGTTGACAGGGATGCCTGGGACAAGGGTGAACCTGAATACATGAAAAGGGGGATCACTTGGTATACGTATGGCTCGAAAAAGCCAACGGGCACGGGGGCTGGAATATATGGAGTCAGACCCAATGCGCAGTTCTGCGTAAGCCTGGGAAAAATGGCCACTGTATTCCAGGCAGAAGTTGTTGCCCTGTCAGAGTGTGCAAGAGTGTGTTTGAAGCGCGGTCTTATAGGCCACACTGTATACATGAACTCGGACAAAAAGCAGCACTAATGGCACTTGACAGTTTTGACTTTACCTCCAAGGCTGTATGGGACTGTCATCAGGCCATGAAAGCCCTGAAAAAGAACAACAGGATCATCCTTAGTTGGGTTCCAGGGCACAAAGGTATTGCTGGCAATGAGGGAGCTGACAAGTGGGCAAACAAAGGAGCTGAAAGCCCGCTCATGGGTCCAGAGCCGACGTGTGGCATTGCTTACAGCACAGCACGGAGAGCTGTTCGCTAGTGGATGGGCATAGAACATCGAAGGAACTGGGAAAGAACAGAAGGAAATGTACAGTCAAAGAGAATGCTGCAGGCACCTACAGATGCGATAGCGGCAGATGCCCTTGGGCTGAGTAGGAAGACCCTGCGGAAGGTGGTTGGCTTTATTAGCGGCCATTGGGTATTCCGTGGACATTTACACAAGATGGGAATTCAAGTTGAAAGTCTCTTATGTAGGAAATGTGGAGAGGAGGAGGAGTCACCATTCCACGTGATATTTATGTGCCCAGCCCTACAAGGTCTGCGCATGAGAGCCCTTGGCCTATCGACTGGAGATCAAAGGGAAGAACGGGTCACCATAGTCAAAAGGATCTCATGGTTCACAAAGGACCTGGGATTTGACAAAGAATGAGGACCTGTGAATGAGGGTGCACAATAAGCTTTTCTAGCTGCACTGCAATCCCATGGTTACTTGAAGCCTGGCCCTCTATAAAAAAAAAAGGTTCCGGTGCCCATCGCTAGGAGATGCCACATAGTTACAGCGCACACTGCTGCAGTGTCTGGTTGGTAGCATACGGCTCTTGCGCTCCTCGTCTGCAGCGGTGAGCGCCGTAACTACACAGCACTCCTAGCGGTGGGCGCCGGAACATAATTGCAATGCTGCCGGTCTTTATTCGTTCTATTTGTCTATGATCAAACTCAATTCACTTTGTTTACAACTAAACATATGGACATGGTATGAATTAGTTCTTAATGTTAACCCCAGACTGCAGGACCTTATTCTTCCAGAGCAAAGCCGGTGTTATAACTTTAACATATTTTTCCTAAGTCTGGTTCATAAATAAAGTACTTTACATTTGTATTTCCTAGCAAGACTTGACAACAAATTGTTTGTAACAGTTGAATTGATTTACCTTACGTTATATTTTACTGAATTATTATGCTGTTTTGGTTACAGTTCGGTAATGTTTAAAAGTGCTTTATTTTATGTACGAGATTGAAAGAGGAAACCAACAGAGCATTAAATAAAATGTTATCAAAAAAATAATGAAATCTTATGGGTGAAATGGGGTGACATCTTGAAAACACCTACATATTTAAGACTCCACCAATCTTTTAAGATTGTGGCAGAATTTTGTAGGGAAGAGAGCTCCGAGGAGTTAAGTGAGATTCTTATGTACATTATAATACCCCCGCCGCAGCAAACCTGCAGACTTAGCGAATTTCCATTTGCCTGATTGGATTTACACTAAAATGTCTCCTTAAAAATATCACATTTATTCCCTATTTAAACAGAATTAGTTTAATAAATACTTAGGTTTGCTGCAACAGGGAGAGTAAAAAAGTTTTTTTTTAATGTAAAATGTTAAAAGGTACTGTAGTTTAGTAAGAAATTAATGTATTTTCCAAATTTGATCAAAATATATTCATAAACAAGCAAACTACAACAGTTTACTTATTCTCCATAAGAATAACATGGGAATTTAAAATTACAATTTTTTTTAAATTTTCTCCGTAACAATTAGGCGCATAAAAACGCTTTAATATACTAAATTATTTGTTTTTTTTAGTTCTACAAAATGGTTTTGAAAGAAATTGTGAAATTTTGTGTTTTTAGGGTCAAAAATGGGAAAAAAGTATTTTTACCCCATAAAAACCCTCATAAGCCCCCGTTCCCATAGTCCGATCATGCTGGTTCGCGAACTCATTCAAGTTTATCCCGCCTTACACCTTCAAACCAAATTTGCAGATGGACGCACAAATTATCGTGCGGATGGACATATATATATATATATATATAGATTAGATATATAAAAAGAAAATCGGTCCCGGGCCTAGGTCTTACTATGAGACCTACGGTAATAGCTACTTCCCTGTAGGAAAATTCTCTAAAAACTGAAGGATGTAACTTACATCACTACAATGATGCTACCTTTTAACATGTACAAAATGTTACAGCTATTTTTAAAGCTGAAACAGAGCACCAATTGGCCAAAGAAACCTTATAGTTTTAGCAAATTTCCCTATAGCGAAGTAGCTATTACCGTAGGTGGCGCGGTAAGACCTAGACCCGGGACCCATTTACTTTTTTATTTTGATGTCCCCAGAGGCCAAAAACACCATTGGTTCAAATTTTTATATACCTATGTATATATATATATATATATATATATATATATATATATATATACGTCCGTGAACGCGATAAACTTGAGTAATTTTGGTCCGATTTTGATGAAATTTGGTTTAAAGGTGTAAAGCGGGATAAACTTGAATGAGTTCGGGAACCAGCATGATCGGAGCATGGGAACGGGGCTTTACGCGGGGTTTTATGGGGTAAAAATTGGTTTTTCTCACTTTTGACCCTCAAAACACAAAATTTCCCAATTTTTCTTTAGACCTTTTTAAAGAGCTTAAAAAAAACAAATAATTTAGTATATAAAAGTATTTTTGTTCGGTTATTATTAACGGAGAAAATTACAAAAATTGTAAATTTAAAATTCCCATGTTATTCTTATGGAGAATATTGTCAAATGTTGAAGTTTGCTTGTTTATCGATATATTTTGATCAAACTTTGCACATTTATTTATTTTGTACTAAGCTATCAATATTTTACTAAAAAACACACTTTATTAGTTTCCTTGTAGCAGCAAACCTAGGTACTTGTTAAACCTAATGTTATTAAAATATATTTAACTGAAAATCAATTCAGACAAATGGAAATTCGCTTAGTCGGCAGGTTTGCTGCAGCGGGGGTATTTTTAACTAATAAATAATGTATGGCGCGTAATCCATTCTAGATCCGTCGTTAGATCCACATTCTTACTCTCTTCTATTCCCAACCAGAGTCTTTGGTTGGCACTCCTCATTAAAACCGGCCCAAAACAGAACAGAGCATAGAAATTATTTGACAATGCAAGAGTATGTGTCGTACCGTTTGGCGTCTGAAAATCTCACTTTACACTAGGTGGTTGACCTATATACGTGAGCTTAGAGGGCACTCGACTACAGTGCACGAGAGATAACCAAAGCAGTGTGAGAGAGGATCTATATTTAAATTGTAGATTACTATAATTTTTTTCAACATAATATGTTCATGTTTTTATAAGTCTTTAATTGAGGTCTGCTAACTGTTTATGTTTTCGTTATTATTCTTTTACTCTTTTATGACAAGTTGCAGTTTTGCTTGATTTCGAGCAACGGGATATCTAGTTGTAAATAAGACAACATGTACTGCAGAGGCACTCCTCCGCTTGATGTACTTACGCCACTGGTAGCGGGACTAGTTTTCAGCTACCGGTAAAACATTTTGAACTTGTACACCTTCACCACAGAATAGAACTATTTTTGGGCATAACTGGTTAACTGTTTAGAATTACAACAAAGTCCTGGTTTACATTTTTATGAATTTTAATAGATCAAAGTAAAAAAAATCAGACTAACACTATTAAGTACCCTATGGTGTTTGTGTCACCCTGTGCATTTCACCATTTGTGTGGTATCTTCAGGGGTCTTATTGTGAATTAGTCTTCTTATATAGTCTATATTTACCAAAATATAGAAACATGTGATGACACAAACATCTTACCTACAAGAACTCAGGCAACAACAACAAAGGTAAATCAAATCTAATCTAATTCAAGTTTTTGAAACTGGAACTGGGATAACAAAATATATTTAAACCCTAGTAAGTTACTTTACAGAAAATGCTATGACTTTATTTACCTTATTTGTAAATAAATAACAACATTTTAAAAATAAATATGGGTAAATCTAAATATTTTACGAACTTTAAGTAGAATATGCTAGACATGGAAAGTCTAAAGCTATGGTCAAGAGACACAAAAATAGGTACTACTGTCTATAATAATTTATACTTTTACTTCCTATACCTATGAGTATACCATCTGAAACTAAGGTATAAAACTTTCTGATGGCATATAGCATAAATTACTTTAAAAAATGTCATTTGGAATAAAATTAGTTTTCTGTGCAGATTTTTGTTGATTATACATGAAGGAATAAGTAAAGGGAATAAACTAATAGCAAGACCTGAATGTTGCTGTGTATGCGGCTGGGGTTGATGCTCTTGGGTATGACAGCAATCCCTCGCTGCACTGAGTACCTCAGTAGGACCTGGGCTGCTGTCTTGTTGTGTCTTTCTGCAATCTCTACTACTACTGGCTCAGACAACAGGTCGGGTAACTCCTTGCTGTGCCACAACATATAACATGGTCATGTCAGGTAAATCTTGGCTGTGACACAATGTGCTCATATGTCATGCAAGGTAACTCCTAGCTGTGTGTCACAATTAACGTACATGTACATATACATATACATTGGCATAAATAAATGTATATATCAAGTCAGGTAACCCATTTCTGTAACACTATGGCTAGTATAACATAACATAGTAAAACATAGCGGGACTAGTTTGCAGCTACCGGTAAATCATTTTGAACTTGTACGCCTTCATCACAGAGTAGCACTATTTTTGGGCATTACTAGTGTTGTACATTGAATGAATAAAACCATTATAAAACGAAATTACCTTCAGTTAGGCTTTATTGAACAAAGAATCTAGCATGATATAAAAGTTTACAATATGAACCAAAACATCAAAGTAAACAAAAACAATTTCTAAACATTTAAACAAATGTTTCAATGTACAGACAGAAAGGAATTATATGGCATTCTTCCCCTCCTAGCTGACAAAGTCTTTTAAATCCAAAGGCGGGTGTTTACTCCTGGAGCTTCTCCTTAGAGCAACATGGTCTTGATTCAGTATTTCTTCTTCTTGGAAGATAGGCTCAGATTCTACCTCAACTTCAGAACTTCTTACATTTATTTGTAGATTTAAGTTTGAGCCTTCTTCATGTCGTAGATTTGAGTTTGAGTCTTCTTCATTTCGTAGATTGGAGTTTGAGTCTTCTTCATGACATGACACTTCTCCTACAGGTACTACATGCCTGGAACTCACTGTAGTTTCACGGCCATCTGCATATCTTATGTGAGAATTATATGGTTAAACTTTGATGGCTTTCATGGTTAAACTATATGGTTAACTTATATGGCGTTAAACTTTGACGCAATGAAAATGAAGAAACCACGTAAAAAATGTAAATATGTAAATAGCTCAGATTAGTGTATAATGACTACGCACCCGACGATGGAGTTATCTCCGAAACGGCCGTAGTGCTCAACTAACAGGATTGCGAAGACTGAAAGTAACCTTTATATTTATGTGAGAATACTCAGGATTCCCCTCAAGGAGCAGTACTTCTTCAACGAGTGGTTCGTATTTTGAGCTCCTGACAGGCCGTTTTATGGGCACAGGACCTGGGTTCATGAGCCACGAGGGAGTTGTCTTACCATTACTAGATCTTCTAGAAAAGAGAAATAGTCTTTCATGTGGTGTTGTATTCATTGAAGTACACAATAACGACCGGATAGAGTGCAAAGCTTCTAAATGTACTTTTTCCCATACACACAATGTATGGGATTAGATTACAATTTCCATTTGATTAGATGTTTTATTAAAAAATGTATATAAATAAAATTAGGTTCAATAGGTACCTAGGTTTTCTGCTACAGGTAGGTTATTATAGTGTGTTTTTTTAAGTAAAATATCAATACCTTACTATAAAATAACTAATTTTCCAAGTTTGATCAAAATATATCTATAAACAAGCAAACTGCAACAGTTAACTAATTCATAAGAATAGCATGGGAGTTTTAAATTTACAATAAACAAATATTTGAGCATACAAATTTTTGTCGTGTTTACTAAAAAGATGGCGAATGGTCACGATTAGAATATTAACCAAATGGGTTTTCAAAAGGAGATGGAGCCTGTTATTTAAGTAATATTAATTCGCACCAAGCACCGAAAATATTGTATGCAGTAAGGTAATCTACCATATTTTGTAAAGTACGCAATAGTCATATTAATATTTTATCTTCATGTTTTACCCATTTAATAGTTAACATTTTAGTATTTTGATGGCACCACCACACTAACTAACTATACTTGACATCCCATTGTAAATTTGGAAGGGTGTTTTTCGTGTCTAGTTCATGTTGGTGACTAATTAAGTATGGTATAGTATAGTTAGTTTTATTTATGAAATACCCCCGCCGCAGCAAACCTGCCGACTAAGCGAATTTCCATTTGTCTTAATTGATTTTCAATTAAATATATTTTATTTAATAACATTAGGTTTAACGAGTACCTAGGTTTGCTGCTACAAGGAAACTAATAAAGTGTGTTTTTTTTTTGTAAAATATTGATAGCTTAGTACAAAATAAATAAATTTGATCAAAATACAAAATATTTCCATAAACAAGCAAACTACAACATTTGACAATATTCTCCATAAGAATAACATGGGAATTTTAAATTTATAATTTTTTTTAATTTTCTCCGTTACTATTAACCGAACAAAAATACTTTTATATACTAAATTAATTGTTTTTTTAAGCTCTTTAAAAAGGTCTAAAGAGAAATTGGGAAATTTTGTGTTTTGAGGGTCAAAAGTGAGAAAAACCAATTTTTACCCCATAAAACCCCCCGTAAAGCCCCGTTCCCATGGTCCGATCATGCTGGTTCGCGAACTCATTCAAGTTTATCCCGCTTTACACCTTTAAACCAAATTTCATCAAAATCGGACAAAAATTACTCAAGTTATCGCGTTCACGGACGTATATATATATAAGTCTATATATATATATATATATACATATATAAAAATTTGAACGAATGGTGTTTTTGGCCTCTGGGGACATCAAAATGAAAAAGTAAATTGGTCTCGGGTCTATGTCTTACCGTGCCACCTACGGTAATAGCTACTTCCCTATAGGGAAATTCGCTAAAATCGGTGAAACCCATCGCAATCGACGGTTACTTTCAAGGTTTACGACAATTATTCATCCCACTTAGTTGATATCAGAGTGATAGTGGTAGTGCCATCAAAATATTAAAATGTTATTTTATTAAATGGGTAAAAATGAGTATAAAATATTATTGCGTAGTTTACAAAATATGGTTGATTTCCTCACCGCATACAATATTTCCGATACTTGGTACGAGTTAATATTACAGTACTTAAATTACTTGCTTCATCTCCTTTAGAAAACCCCTTCGGTTAGTATTCAAAACGTGATGAATAATCGCCATATTTTTAGTAAACACAACCAAAATTTGTATATTTAAATTTGTAAATTGTAAATCTTAAGCTACCATGCTATTATTATGAATTAGTTAACTGTTTCAGTTTGTTTATTTATAGATTTATTATTTTATGCTAAGTTATTGATATTTTACTAAAAAAAACACACACTATAATAACCTACCTGTAGCAGCAAACCTAGGTACCTGTTGAATCTAATTTTATTTAAATACAATTAATAAAACATCCAATCTAATGGACATTTGCTGAGTCTGCAGGTTTGCTGTGGCAGAGTTGTTTTACTCATAAAATAAGCTAAAATTTTAAGATTTTATAGTATCACACTATTTAACTAAATGGGATAAATTATCATAACCCTTGAAAGTAACGGTCAATTTCTATGTGTTTCACCTATTTTTGATAAATAGAAAAAACTAAATATACTTAATAACAAATAACTCAAAAACCGTTGGGTTTAGAGAAAGATGGTAAATACAAAAAATGTGTATTTTTAGATGACCTACATTTTGTACATTTAGCTTTTTCCTGTATCTCTAATAATAAAGTCACTATAGCGAAAAATACAGAAATATGCCGCCATTTTCCAATATGGCGGCCGTAGCACAGCTTCAATTTTAGGGGACTTTTAGTATGTTCAAAAGGAAGGTACACCCAACATCTGTACCAAATTCCCCGGTTGTGCTAATTTTTTTTAGGTTTATGGAATTTTTATCTTATTTTTACTGCACTATATGAACCAAAACATCAAAGTAAACAAAAACAATTTCTAAACATTTAAACAGATGTTTCAATGTACAGATAGAAAGGAATTATATGACAACTAGTTCATGTAAACTGGTGCTGAAGCATGTCATATTATATTTTAGATATATTTTTAAGACTAAAAACAACTTATCATCATCTGAGGCAAACATTTACAAGTTCACATTTTGAGTTGCCCACCTAATGTGGAGGTCCTGAAACAGCTTGGCACTCCCACGGCTGCCGAGTGGAGAGTAGGCACACACGGAGATGTCATGTTCCTTGCAGAACTCCACTAGTTCTTGCTGTTGTAGGAAGGCATGCACTTCTATCTGCAGGTTCTCTAAAGGCTCTGCAGCAATCTTCAGTATCCTCTGCAGTTGAGACTTGTTGAAGTTTGAGACCCCAATAGCCTTTGCTCTCCCCTTTTGTTTTTCTGCCTCCATTGCCTACAAAGAGCGTGAAGAAGAAATAAGAATTAGTTCATAAAATACCGAATAAGTCAATATTTTTGTTTTTACAGAGTCAAAAAGGTATTTTGCTGAAATAACAAAATCACATCCAGGATATATTTTTCAACAACTCTCTAATATTAGGGAATGCTAGCTGCTCATCAAATGGGGGCCATGTTCCCCCCCCCCCTGGTTACCTGAACCAAAATATAGCCTACTACATAAATTTAGCATAAATTGCACAATAATAGTTTTTATGTAGATAAATGTTGTCATTGATTTTAAAACAACTTTTTTTGACAACTACTTTGGTTCCAAAACTTAACCAATTACTGTATAGCGTGTAGCCGTTCTGGCGTGGCAGCCGAATGGTTAGGTTCGCTAGTTCTACTCTGGACCCAGAAGCCATATTGTCATTGGGGTTATCAATTAATTATGTTATACAAAAGTATAACAAAAGTACAACACTAGATGTTAACAAGACGAGAGCTTGAACTGTTCCCTTTCAAAAAGCTGTAACACGCCAATGGCACAGATAAAAAATACTAAAAATCAATAACTATTTCTAATTGGAATGAAGAAGTCTCAGTCCATGGTCCAACCTTCCAAACAGCCTGTAGGTCAGTGGTAGGGTCCAGGATGATGTTGCCGTCTCTGTCGGTGGGGTGCAGTCCTAGACCGTCCTGAAAGGCGAAGGGAGTGTGGACCAAGTAGAGATCCACGTAGTCCAGCTGCAGAGCCTCCAGAGAAGACGTCAGATACTTGTCAACACCTTCAGGACGGTTACCTGCTGGCGGCAACTGCAATATCAGTAACTAAGTAAAAATCTGAAGGGATAGATAGATAGACACAACATTTTTATAAAAGGCTACAGATTACTGGCAAACTACGCCAAAATGGTAACAAAGGCATGTTTTATGGGTAAGCCCTCATCAGGCCCTGCCGTATATATGTCCAAGCCCTGGCCTGGTAAACTGACATGATAACGTCCGTTCTCAATATCGGTTGTTTTCTAAGGAACCGGTGGTATCGAGGATTTCATTTAGGTACCGACAAATCCCACCATATTTTATTGAGACTCCGAGTAACTATAAACATGTTATGCCTTACCTTGGTGACAATGAAGAGTTGTTCCCTGGTCACCTTGCCCTCGGTCAGCCAGCGATGCAGCACTCGTCCGATCACATGTTCGTTCTCGTAGGCAGCGGCGGTGTCTATGTGACGGTAGCCTGCCTCTAACGCCGCCTCCAGTGCCACTTCCAGCTCCTCCTCTGTCGCCTCACAAGCAACACAAACTCAATCACAATTCAGAACTTATTTGGAACAAGTAAATTTAGCATATCTAAAACCAAATAAAAAACTTTTCTAAAATTTGTTAGAGAAGTTTTTTAGTTAAAACTTTTCTAAGATTTTTGTGTTTGTATTTTCTACGCCAGTGGCCTTTTTTACGTTTTAAAAGAGAAAAGTCTAAACCTTGATCTTTTAGCGAATTTCCCAATAGGGAAGTAGCTATTACCGTAGGTGGCACGGTAAGACCCAGGCCCGGGACCGATTTACTTTTTCATTTTGATGTCCCCAGAGGCTAAAAACACCATTCGTTCAAATTTTTATATCTTCTTTTTTATATATGTATACATAATACATATATATATATATATATATATACGCCCGTGAACGCGATAACTTGAGTAATTTTTGTCCGATTTTGATGAAATTTAGTTTAAAGGTGTAACGCGGGATAAACTTGAATGAGTTCGCATGATCGGACCATGGGAACGGGGTTTTACGGGGGGTTTTATGGGGTAAAAAATGGTTTTTCTCATTTTTGACCCTCAAAATACAAAATTTCCCAATTTCTCTCTAGACCTTTTTAAAGAGCTTAAAAAAACAAATAATTTAGTATATTAAAGTGTTTTTTGTACGGTTATTGGTAATGGAGAAAATTCAAAAAATTTCTCTCTAGACCTTTTTAAAGAGCTTAAAAAAACAAATAATTTAGTATATTAAAGTGTTTTTTGTACGGTTATTGGTAATGGAGAAAATTCAAAAAATTGTAAATTTAAAATTCCCATGTTATGGAGAATATTTTAAAATGTTGTTGTTTGCTTGTTTAGTTTATGGATATATTTTGATCAAACTTGGCAAATTTATTTATTTTATACTAAGCTATGAATATTTTACTAAAAAATAAATGTTATTAGTTTCCTTGTAGCAGCAAACCTAGGTACTCAGTATTATGTTATTTAAGTAGATTTATTTAAAAATCAACTCAGACAAATGGAAATTCGCTTAGTATGCAGGTTTGCTGCGGCGGGGGTATTTCTACCTAACGTTGATCTTTTTTTCGATAACATCATCATATACCCAATATAGTATGTTTTCAATAACACAACACTTTGTTTGGAGTCCATCTTTATATGCTTTACTTAAACCTATTTGAGGTACTGTATATAATATTGGATTTAGGGCTTAGGAATAAATATTCTCAAAGTTTGTATCTGCTAACTTTTGGAAATTCCCTACCTAAATACTTAAAATAGATTCAAATACCTACTTAAAATAGGATTGTAAAGAATGTAAAAACATCTTTGCACAATGTTATTAACATTCAAATTTTAGTCCGTATAGTCCGGATGATGAGCATAACCTGTAAAATATCAGTACCATTTAACCAACCCCAAGGAAAAACTTAAAAATGTTTTACTATTTTGTAGCCTACAGGATGTATCAAATCCAGAGAAGTAAGTTCAATCAATTTGAACAAATTGTCAAATACACAATCAGAAAAGTATGTTGATATACAGTGTGTAAATTAAGTCTTGAAACAAATCTGTATTTTTTAAACTGTAATAGATAGAAATATTCAGTTTGTGGCATTGATTGTTAACGAAGGTTCCACAATTTTTTACATCATCAATATTTTTCAACCCCTTTGACAGGGTTGTTGAGGGTGGGGATGACTTATTTTTTTTAATAACAACCCCTATTGAGTGACTCCTCATTCTGAAGGGTCTCTCAAAATAAAAACAATGACGCAAACCCGAGGTGGATATCTCATCCCTAGGCAAAATGGCGGGTATTCAAAAATTTGATTTATGTGAAAAAACACCCATTTTGGAATACCCACCATTTTGGCTAGGGGAGAGATATTGACCTCGAATTTGCGTTATCGTGTTTCTTTTGACAAATCCTTCAAAATGAGGGGTCATTCAATAGGGGTTGCTATTTGAAAAAAATAAGTCACCCCCTACCCTGTTAGGGGGATTTAGAAATATTTTTGATGTAAAAAATTGCGGAACCCTTGTTAACAATTATTGCCACAAACAGAATATTTATATCTTTTTCGGTTTTAAAAATACAGATTTGTTTCAAGACTTAATTTACACACTGTATATGATTGTCATATTATACATAATTTTAAATCTCTTGTTAAGAGTCGGTATGACAGCCTGACATCTTGGATTTTCTGCCCATAGCAGCAATGTTATGGTTGTCATAATACGGCATTGTTTATTAAGCAAAAAGGTTGCAAAATATATCATTTTGAAGCTATTGAAACCGTGGATGTGATTCGCTATCTACTTTTTAGTTTTAATTGTTATTATTTTGTCCAACTACATAAATATATTGACTTATACTATGATTTTTCTCAACATCTAAAGCAAAAGTTTTAAAATCCGAAAAGCAATTCACACGGAATAGTATATTTCGTACCTAGGGCCAAAAGTGAGGTTTTGCCGGCTCGAGATAGTTTTAAGTTCGAGACGAAGTCGAGAACTTAAATCGATCGAGAGCTGCAAAACCATTTCGGTCCGTGGTACGAACGCTATTTTTCACCACACTATAACCTATTACCACTATTCACCACTTTTATAATGCACACTGATAGTCAACACAACTACAACTTTAAGGTTATGTGAAGAAATAATTTGAGGAATCAGCAAAAATAAAAATGAATAGTTGCTAGGCAACGGTGACAATAACACAATTCTACTGCAATGCTATGGATTTTGATTGTGTATTTAAAATGAATTCATGTTTTAAGTAAGTAAGCGGACAGCTGATTTTGCGGCCCCGGCCTGTAAAAACCTGCTCGGTCCCCAAATTACGATTACAGCTGGCATGGCCAGCAAAACGCAACTTTCAGCCACCAATTAACGTATGTAATACAGTCAAAAACATAGTAGTGTGGTGGAATAGTATATTTCGTACCTAGGGCCGAAAATGAGGTTTTGCCGGCTCGAGATAGTTTTAAGTTCGAGACGAAGTCGAGAACTTAAATCGATCGAGAGCTGCAAAACCATTTCGGTCCGTGGTACGAACGCTATTTTTCACCACACTATACCCTATTACCACTATTCACCACTATAATAATGCACACTGATAGTCAACACAACTACAACTTTTAGGTTATGTCAAGAAATAATTTGAGGAATCAGCAAAAATAAAAATAAATAGTTGCTAGGCAACGGTGACAATAACACAATTCTATTGCAATGCTATGGATTTTGATTGTGTATTTAAAATGCATTCATGTTTTAAAAGTAAAAGGACAGCTGATTTTGCGGCCCCGGCCTGTAAAAACCTGCTCGGTCCCCAAATTACGATGACAGCTGGCATGGCCAGCAAAACGTAACTTTCAGCCACCAATTAATGTATGTAATACAGCCAAAAACATCATAGTGTGGTGAAAAATATATTAAAAAATCACATAAAATTTTCTGCTCGGTAATCAAGCTTACGGTGCATGATTTTCAACATGAACACATGTTTTTGCTGATCGGCGCTAGGACAACACTTTTAGCCTGGCATCTGACGGTCAACAACAATGCAAAATTACCCTCTCCTGCCGACTCTTAATAGAAACAACTGAAGTTTTTACCTAAGGTATTTCTAATCAATAGGAGAGACAAGAATCACTCATTGAAAAGAAATTAGGCCTACGTATAGTGTTTGGCCGTTTAGATGCAGCAAATTATACTATTCGGCCATCAGTTTCTAGTCAATGTCGTTTGTAATGGCTGGAAAAGCAATTTATAAAAGAATGCAAGATCACAGTGAGTTTAGCCTTCCAATCTCAAACACGTCTTTTATAGCCTATAGTTGGTCATAAACAATCAGTTCCAGTTCACTCTAGAATGGAGACACAGACCTTCACGGTTCAGGACTCAATAAACCGCAAACGCTAACATGTAGTCGCCTTCTATTGTCACTGCATCACCACTCCGACTCCGACTCAGAGTGCAGACTAGGCGTACAATGCAGTTGTCTACTTGCAAAATTGAGCGGAGCTAGCATATTAATCCAATACTTTTCTAAAGTCAATGCTACATCTGATTCTCGTAAATGAGATATATAGGCATACTTGCAGTATCCAATGTCAATGGTATATTTGGCTCACATAAATGGAATGTCTGTTTGCAGTATAAAGTCAATTACTGTAGGAAGTCTCTGGTTCACGTAAATCAGTCTACTTACAAAGACTATGTTTCATCTTGGTTCTCATAATATAATGCCTATTTTTTGCAGTATCCAAAGCCTATGGTTACCTAAAATGTCCATTTACAAGTTCTAAAGTCAAACGGTTAAAACGGTAATTTACTGTTCTAAAGTTGTACGTATAGTTAACGTAAACGAAAGGTTTACTTGCAGCATCCAAAGTCAATGATCCATTTATTTAAGATAAATAAAATGTCTATTTGCAGTATTCAAAGTCAATGATAATGGCATCTGTTTAAGTGTTGAGTCTGGTTCACTTAAACGAATTGTTTACTTGCAGTATCCAAACACAATGACACATTTGGTTAACGTTAATGTATTGTCTACTTGCAGTATCCTAAGTCAATGGTTAATTTTATTCACATAAATGGAGTGCATATTTTCAGTATCCAAAGTCAATGGCTCGTCTGGTTAACGTCAATGGAATGTCTACTTGCAGTATCCAAACTCAATGATAGGCTACATTTATTTGGCACACGTAAATTAATTTGTCTACTTGCAGTTTCCTAAGTCAATGGTATCTTTGGTTCACATTAATGGAATTCTCATTCAAAAGTCTGCTTTATTTACGTACCGTCCAGTTCACGTAAATGGAAAGTCTACTTGCAGTATCCAAACTCAACGGTAGGCCTATATTTGGTTCACATAACATGAATATATATTTGGAGTATTTAAAGTCAATGGTGCATCAGCCTAATTCCGGTGCCCTAATCATGGTTATTCATTTTGTAGTAAATTATGCTCAAAGATATTAATCCGATTGTTCTTCCTTTTTTTCT